TAAATGTTTTTTAAAAGAAAATATAGTATGAAAGGTCCGGAAACAATTACTATTTTGTTTACAAGTAAATTTGTCGACATATTTATGCCTCAGTTTAATATGCAAGGTAAAATTATTGAGCTTTAAAGTCTTAAAACTGCAAAGAGGACAAATGATCATATTTTTATATCAAAGATATTTTTAAAAGTTCATACAAAATTATAAAGAAAGGCTATTTGCGAGGGTCATTACGTAAGGTATTTGCTTGTCCCATTGTGTTGAAACCCCAAAAATTACTTTTTGGATAAGTAAATAAATATGTTCTGCTTCAGGGGGGTATTCCGCACACAGTACATGAAATGTCTTAAATAATAAATCAAAACATTGCAAGGTTGTACTTGCTTTGTAGATGTAGGCGTCGATAATCAGATAGCTCTCTGTTACTTCCGATACTGTTGGCCCCACAACAATCATATATGGTTGGATAGTTCTACTGAGAGCCTTGAAGTGATGACTTCTTTCGGTGATAAAATTTTCTATTTCTCCAGAAATCTGAAACATAAATTTCAAACATTCTATTACAAAATTCATCTAAATGTTTTTTGATACATTAGATAAGTATGTTATGATATATGTATAAAACTGACCTTAACATGATTAATAATACTTTCTTGGCATTCCAATATGCTCGGCTTCCAGTGACTATTCTTAACTCTTGATCTTCCTTTTGGAGGAAACAACACGGGCAAAGCTGTAATTTGGACGGCACACTTACCATCTAAAAAAGAAATTGTTTTAGTAAACTTATGATAAAATAAATACATATAATTTACCCTCTGATAATTTTTCATTTTTTAATTGTGCCATTATAATTTCATCTGGCTTATTTATATTTGGACATTCTAACAGGTTGTTGTAAAATAATTCCCACTTTAAATACATTTCGGTTGCAGCATTAGGAAACATTTTTTTAAAATCCGTATCAATCTAAAATTTTTAGGTTTGAAAAAATATTTTTAGGTTACCTACTTGTAATAAAATACATACTAGTACGGTAGCTACTTGATGTTTTAAAATTGGCCATTCGCTTAAAAACTGATCAACAGTTTTTACCGTGCTATTACGACGCATATAAAATGAATTATCCCAGTGCAATAATACAGTATCAAAAGGTTCATTCCAATGTTTTAACCATTTGGCACTGGCATCCATATCGTCTTAAAAATTTATTAAAAATAAAATGTATACCTAGATAAGTGTATAWKAGTATAATATGTGATTTTGCTTACCCGTAACAGGATTATTAGACAACTCATTATCGGTTTCCAAATTTTCTTTATAATCTTTGGTAATATTGTACAGTCTTTTTAAATTTCTATATTTATCCACAAGTTTCCCTTTCGCATTCACAGGTTTTTTTTTAGATGGCCCTGCTCCACTACAACGTGGAATGTAATACGTTCCAGTATGTTCACATTTAAAAAGATCACAAATTTTGTTAGACAGATTTTCAAAATCCTCCGCAGTTAATTTTCTAAAATTGTAATTATGTAGTGTTTTAATAAACACTTAAGCCATATTTCGCACCCGTTCCTAGCTTCAGCCATTGCGCTGTTAATAATCAAATTCACTAGCATGTTCCTAGTTTTTGTTGTCAATGTTTTTGTTTTCGAATAAGTTTCTAAAACAAAACGGCCGGCATTTGTCGCATTCAAAAATTGCTGCAAGTCCAAGTCATATGACATCCTGCAAGCCCTATTTAAATTTTCTTCACCTAAAAACGCAAAAGAGCGAGAGCAGGCCTGCTTATAATATTCCTGCCCAGTTATAAGACAAGCTTCATCTGTCGTACTACAGGAAGGCGTATCCTTGCTTACTATAATAATTTTTTGAAAATACAATGCTGAGTTATACCAAAAAAATAGCGGTTACCTGTACATGTTTCATTAACAGTGCCCTCAAAGTTACCGATTAGTAAAACCGGTTCAGATGTCTGAAAGCTAAAATTAGGTAAAAATGTTCAAGTATCTATGTAATTTTTACCGAGGGTGAACAATGTTCCGTTACTATAGGTGAAGAGACTGACGAAAGCGTTAACGTCTCTGGTGTTATTGGATCGTTTTGAATAAAACATTCCGTTTTAAACACTTTTAATTTATTTAAAAATTTTATTCTTGGTCCGATAGTGGGAATTAATTCTTTTAAACTGTTCTCTGTTAGGGATTTTAATGCCTCCATATCTATCTCTTCTTCTAAATTTAAAAATATACTTTAATAATAATGGACCACATTTAGACAAAGATGCAAAAACACAAAAGTCGGAAAAATATAAACTTACTCTCGAAAGTTGGGATATATTTTTCGAACCCCCACTCGGTAATTAATTTGCTCACTTCATCCATTATATTATTTATTTATTGGACACAAAACCTAAGAAAAATTTCTTAAGCTATTTCTCACATAGCAATTAAAAACTATACTATTTWWAAAAAAAATATGTGTGTTATTAGTATAATATTAAAACAAATATCAACACTTTCGATTGTTTTTTACGTAGAAAGGGAAGCCATAACTAACGGTTTTATTATGATTTTAGAACAGAAAACGTGTAGGTATACTTATTATTATTGATTCACAAGATTGGCGTTCAAAAATCAGTAAAAA